TTAGAGCAGTGCCTGAAGATTACTCCGTCCGGCTATAAACGACTGTTAAATGGAATGATGAATTGTTGAAGGATTTTGAAAACAGAAAAAATGATAGTCATGCCGGCCCAGCATCCTTAACGTTGAAAACTGCCCCGGCACGAAGTGGTTAAAGACATGTACACACCCTTGAAAAAAAGGACGGCAAATTCAATCAAGGACCACTAGTTAAGTAGTTGTTTCATGATGTACCTTGCGCATGTGCAGTGAAGTTGAAGCATAAACGACCCTTGTCAACCATTGTCAGGTCATTAGGGCGAAGGTGAGAAATGGTGGTCACAGCAATGGAAAAAAGGAAAATCCAAAGTGAAAATGGTCGCTTGCTAATGACATACTGCTTTTCCCGTATTTTTCTTACAAGTGGTCCTCTTTGCATTGTGCTATTATAAATGGCTTATGGCAACCACCGATGTGACCAACCTCGATAGGCTGGTCACGAATAGTTGACAAAACTAGTCCAACCATCATCTAGGAGCCAGCATTCAATCAGAGTTAGTCAAACTATGGTTAACTATGTTCCTCACTTGAACTTGCCCCGAGTTGATGATTGAATTAAATTTTGGTAGAAAAGGTGATTAACCACATTCAAAGTTTGATTCAACACTGGAACTGAGGTATGTATTCTGGTGTACATGTGTATTCTTTTAATCCGAGGCTATGTTATTACACTTTTTTTACAAAAAGATGCAGTTTCACATGAGGTTGCACATTAATGGGGGAATATATTTGGTTTACTTCACAGAGAAACATGTCATCAATAAGGAGGATGCATGTTACTATCAATCAGTATTTTATACCAATAGCCCCTGATTGATGCACTGAATGACTGCAGGTGGGTTCCAGTGGAGAAGTCATAGTATGGTGCCATCAGTCACAGGAAGAGGAAAACAGTTGAGGATGAGACTTATGCTGGATCTCTGCAAGTTTAAAAGCTCTTTATTCTCCTTCTGGTTGGCAGCAAACTTGGCAAAATCTATTGTGTTTCTGAAATCACACTGACATTGGGACAGAACAGTGTATCTTTTACCACATTTGCATTGCCACTGATGTGATGGACATCTGGGGTGTATTGTGAGATGTAGTCCAACTGATGAATCTGGCACGGAGAGTGTTGGTCAATCCTGAAATGCAGAGCATGAATGAGTGGTTTGCAGTCAATGAAGACACAAAATCGCCATCCCTCAAGTAACTACCGGAAGTGTCAAATGACCTGGTACACAGCAACAAGTTCTTAATAGAGGGTGCTTTGTGGTGACTCTATTCCTGTAAGCTTCAGTGAGAAGGCAATAGGCTGAACCTCTCAAGGACTGTCTTGCTTAAGAACACCACCATCAGCATCAGTCATGGTAAACCAGAAGTGTAGCAGAGGGAAGGGTTACCTTGATATCTCAGAAAGCCTGTTGGTGAATAGGTGTCCAATCAAGAAGTCTGTGAGGGTCGAATATTGTGTGCCATGAGGAGATCATTCAGTGAGGCGAGGATGCGGGCACAGTTGGGATTGATTCTCCCGTAGAAGTTGACTAGCCCTATGGAACTCCACAACTTCTTCAGCAAGTTGCTGCAGGAAGTCTTGGATTGTGGAGACCTTGTCTGTAAGTGGACATATGCCGTGCTTTTTCACATAATGTCCCAGGAACTGAAAAGCAGATGCCAAAAAAATGCGTTTGCTGCGATTGATCACAAC